GGCGCCGCGGGCTGGGCCCTATGCCCCGCCTCTTCCCTCTATGCCCCGCCCAGCGACGGCGATAACGTCTCCAGACCCAAGCCCCTCCCTCAAACTAGCCATGCCCTCTCCCGTACGGAGCTCTGGGGCGGCGTCAGCAGCGGGCGGGGCCGGAGCGCTAAACACCGCCCACAACTATAAACCACGCCCCTCACCGAAACCCGGCCGCTGTCATCCCAGGCTCAGGCTTCCCCGGGAGCTCTAAACTACGCGCCTCAGTGAGCCCCGCCCTTGAGGAGTTTAGGCAGTAGCGGTGACTGGAGTCCCGCCCCCTCCAGCTTGAGTGACACAGCGGAGGAACCTAGCACCGCCCAGGTCCCGGTCCTGGCCAGAGAACTCAAGCCCCGCCCCACGCGCATCCTCTCCAATAGCTCCTGGGGCCGCGCCCCTTTGTTTAGGCCCCGCCCCCTTCCGGGCCCGTGCCTGCTCCTCTCGATGGTTAGGAGGTAGGTGTGTGCTCGGTTTTCTGCTGCCGCCCTGGCCACCCCACCCTCGTCTCCCGGATGAAGAAACTGAGTCTTAAAAGAGACGTGAATTAACCACGGTCACGTACGTAGCCGGTGAAGCCTGGCAAAAAAGGCCGGTGGGCGTTGAGACTTAACAGTGAGCTTGGTGGGACATCCTTCTATCAAGTCCCCTAATTACAGCAGGGGACAAGTGCCTGGCTTTGCAACCTAGTTAGGGAAGTCATTTAGTTTGACCGAGCCTCAGTTTTCCTAACTATAAAATGCGCGGCCTCAGACAAATCTTTTCACCTCCGTACTTGGTTCCCTCTGTTGTAGGGAGGCCTGGTCCTTCATCTCTGGTGCGCACCACAAGGTGCCACTAAGCCCAAGGCCAGCTAGGAAATAGAGGTCTGTGGGGGTGGGAGAGGCAAGACCCTCACAGCCTGCAATGGGGCCAGGCACCAGATTTTACCTGTCTCTGCTGGTGCGGCTATTGCAGCACATTATAGAGCTGTAACTTGAGACATTGGAACCAGACCAGGACTGCGGACTTGGTGCCCCTGCCCAGCCCAGGAATCCCTGGGTCCCTGAGCCCTCCGTTTCTGCCTCAGTTCACCCCAGGGCTGCAACCTCTCGGGGATACGAGGCTCAAAAGGCATCAAGTCACTGGGAATTCCAAACTCTTGCACCCAGTGGTAATAAACGTTACACTCCTGCCCCTTGCTAAACACTGCAGAGAGTGAGGTTTGCTCATATTCCAACACGGACCAGACAGATGGAGAGCCAGTAGGCAGCTGCCCTCAGCGCCAGTCTGTGCAGGCAGAGGGACAAACAGCATGGACAGACCATGTTCCAGGGCACCCACATGTGTGCCTGGGCAAGTCAAGGCTAGATTCAAGGGCTATATCCTGCAGAAGCCTCACTTGGACCTTCTGAAGGACCTCGGGTACCCATCAGTGTGTTACAGCAGTGGGGTGAGGCTAAGACCTCCCCTTACCACCCACATCCCTTGCCAGTCTCACCGTCAGGAAGGTCAGCATTCCACCTTTACATCTGCACCAGACCTCACTTGGCCCCATGAGGGAAACCTGCCTAGATCAAAGTCCCTCACCCCAGCAGCTTGTTGTGGCCCCCAACTACAGGCTGCTTGCTCGTTAGCACTCCAGAATTTGTACAACGTTTGGTTCAAGGACACCACCCCAGCTCACAGGGATTCTACAACCTAGATCAACAAGAGGCACCCCCCACCATCCCCACCCCAAGCCTGCAGGGACAGAAGGCCTTAGTCTATGGCAGGACAGCTAAAGGTACACAAGGAACTATCAATCATACCTGATGTCCACACCAGAATCTACAAGAGGTGCAAGGCACTCCCTAGGTCTAGGAACAGGCTCTGGGTACTCCCACCTCTTCCCTAGGGTAGGGACAGGGAGGTAACACAGACTGCTGCTCCCTCGCTGGCAGAACCTGTCAACTTGAGATATTTGAATGTGGAAAGTCTGTGCAGACTTCTAAGGTGCCAGCTGATGTTACACCTGACCTCCTGCAAAGCT